TACAGAGCGAAAAAAACGCAACTGGTAAAAAGCAAATCACGATCAAATGGGATAACAATCTTTCTAGTTTTTCGCCGTACACTTTTTGAAATTTCGTGTGCGTTAGTTTATGGTTTTTTTGCGAGGGTCGGGGGGTGGGTGGGATAGGCGACTTTAATAGGAAAACCGTATGATATTCGCGCCACTGACCTCTATACTGGGCTACTTCTCTCAGTGTCTTTAACCAACAACAATCCTCATCCCTTGTGCCTCAACCTGGAATGCGAGCTGCATCAACCAAAACCAAAGCTGAAGCCAGCTTCTTCATACCTCTACGTCAAGTCATGGTCTGACCGCCGCAGTGCTTCTTCCAGCCTTGCCCAACACGTGCGAAGAGAGCACGGAGAGGTAGTCAGTGGGCAGGCATACGCAAAACATGACCGAGCCATCGGAGTCGGTGTAAAAAAATTTCTTCCGTTAGAGAACCACTATCAGTACCCAACACATGACGATAAACCTTGTCATTGCTTACCCGATGTTCCCACCAGACACGAGTAACGCTTCCAAGACATCGGTGATCGAATACAGAAAGTCGATTAGCACCCTCGCAGCCGTAAAGTACGTCAACACGAACCGCGGCAATGTGTACCCTTACCTTCAGTGATGGTCGGATGTCATGGCGGCACCACAGATGTCGCAGGTTGACAAAAGTTGTTTTAGCGTTCGCTACTCGTGATGTGATCTCATCCCCTACACCATCACCAGCTGTGATCAAACTCCCGTTATACTTGAAGCTTTCAACTATTTCCAGTCGATCACTACAGAGGATGAGTGCAGAGACAGGCTCCTGCAAGTTTTGAACATGCATTTTGCACTTTTGTCGAGCAAAGCACATATCATACCTGGATACCTCGATCGCCAAGTGGTGTAAAGCTTGTTCGATTGCCTATGAATTATCACCCAACTCGGCGATGTCACGGGCATATTCCAAGTCAAGAACTCTGTTCCCCGGGAGGAGTTCGATTCCACCGTTTGCTAAACCGGACTAAGCGTCCTACAGAACTTCTTGTATGGTGAAGTTGAAAAGGAATGGGGATATAGGGCACCCTTGTCGAACTCCACAGGAGACATTGAAGGGTAATGAAAGCTGGTCATAGATCCTAACCGGATCTGAGGTAAAACGATACAACTCTTTGAGGATCGACACATACTTCTCAAGTACTCCATTCCACAACACAGTTCTATAGTGCGGTCCTATCGACAGTGTCGAAGGCCGTGCGGATGTCTAAGAATACAGTGATCGTTGGTCTTTGATAAGCATGACGGTGTTCTAGCAGCTGTCGCAGGGTGAAGATCTGATCAATGCACCCGCGACCAGCTTGAAACCCAGCCTGCTTCTCACGGGTCTTCATTTTCAGTTTCAGTTTGTGCAAACAATAATCATGCACTATCGTGCGCCGGTTTTGGTTGCTGTCTTTTGGCTTCACTTTTGGACGAACATAAGGAGAAAGACATGAAGGGTTGAAAGTAGAATCGAAGAGAAAATTGAAAAGTTCAGTGAACTAATGATACAGCAAAATTGAGAAGATGCACGAACGCCACTGTTTACGACACCCAGCCATATCACTCACTGTCTCTAACCATCAAGTATGATCATCCTGAGGTCCCCATCCAGGGAGCCTAACGGGACCGATGGGACCCAGACTCCTGGTTAGGGTTTTCATACCCTCATGCCAGGTCTTACCTTGACCACTCTGGGCTTTATTCCACCCATTATCTGCCTCGGCAAACATCGCTGGCCGTGGCAACCTATGTGGTGACATGCGTAACACATGTCCCAACCAACATAATCTATGGAGGTCAACACTTGCTCCAGTGGGCGACCGCGGATACCCAAAACTCTGCCCCTAACCTCAGCATTACCCGTCCGGCTTAACGGGACCTATGTGACCCAGACTCCTGGTTAGGGTCTGCTCCTCACGCATAGTGTAAAATCGACAGAGAATGATGGATGCCAACAGATTTGACGCTACCTCGGAACGTAGAACCAAAAGCACGTCAGTGACAGCAACGGCTCGACCACCGCCACCAGGCTCGTTCAAGCATATGGATTTGGTGCACTTGCCAGGGCATTTCGTCTAACGTGTATGGGCAGTAACCGATTAAGTAAGAGTTATTTGACGAGAAATAACGATAATTCTTTACTTCACAGGAACCTAAAAAAGTATCCTTAAAATTGCATTCTGGATGATATTGTGAAGTGTCTGATTTACAAACTATGGCGAGAAACAAAGCTACTATTCTCGCTTCATCCCATTATGCAGTACGAATTCTGCGGTGAGAGTCCGGAGATAAACCGTTGGAGTTAACGGAAGAACATCAGTTGGCTAAAATTGGTACTTGTCCAATGTGAACTGGGCAGAAAAAACGAGGCGAACACAAATCAATGAAACAAAACTGACCAAGTTTGCGCTGAATTTTTACTGAAAGATTTGAAACCGACACCGGTCTTCTTAAGGATCCATGCTAAATTTAAAATTAGTGTTTTACCACTACTGATTTTGGGTACGTGAATATTAAAGTATGGTTTATGGAACCATATCATAAGGAAAAAGCAGAAGTTTATTGGATAGTGTTATACTTACTGTATCTTTCGTTTTGGAAACCGATTCAGAAGATGATACAATTCCGGCAACTGTCTCAGAACTAGCAGTGTCCACGACAGCATCGGATGAAGGAATTGAGTTTGAAGTGGGTGTTGGCGTGGTGCTGATCGACCGACCCTCGGTTGTAGTTACGGGGTTCTGAGCCGGCAATACACAGGCGGGTTGGGATAGTAGTGCTGTGGGAGTCGGACCAGGACCAGCGCAGGCGGACGGAGGTGGAGGGGGCATACGTACTGGAGTGTGAAACGGAGGCATGGTAGGAATAAGGTAGGTGGGACCGGCGGTGAAAGCGTGGTGGTGATGATGATGATGACCGGAAGCCGTGGGGTGGTGAGGATGGATATGAGGTGCGAGCAGATGCATTGTGGGCACAAATGGTGGTGTCAGAGTAGAGGGATGTAATGTTGGAGGTGCTCCGGGTTGTCCAGGTACTGGTGGAGGGGCAGGAATGTTGCTGAAACAGTACACATTCAAATTCGGATGGGCGTGACCCACGGATAAAGTGGCACCAGTGCTGCTCACCACAGCTGGTATGCTCAACGTTTCCGCGGGTACAGTGGAATGGGGATTGAACTTGGACGGCGGGACTACTGAATTGGGAGCAAGCGTTCCCGAATTATTGCTATTGCCACTGCTCGTGTTGTTTGCCGCCAGAGCGGCAACAGCGGTTGTGACTGCAGTTATCCCGTTTCCAGAGCACAGGATAGCAGGCATATGCCGTGTGCCAGCAGGCATACATATTGGTACCGGTCCACGATAAGGTGCGGGGATGGTGAGCGAATTCGGAGTGGACAATATGGTTCCGGTACTTTCGCAGCTCGAGGTGCGACAATGAACCCGTTGCAACGAGAGTGGGGAACCCAAAGGACTGACAGCCGGTGTGCTAGATTGACTATCCAAGCCGGTGGAAAAGGATTTTTTCCGTCTGAGCCGATTAGTGCGATGCGGAAATCGTAGAAAAATGGCAAAAAGCGAATAATAATTATTGATAATCGTTCGTCAATATAAGAAAAACTGAGGTTCACTGCCACTAGAGATGTGAGGTTATAATGAATCAAGTTTTCAAAACGCTTCTTACAGTGGTTTCGCAAAAGCACGCATTTTCACCACAAAAAAGCCACACCAAAAAGCAGCAACAGCACGCGGGGAAAATCTTTATCCACGTGTCAGGTAGGAAGGGAAGAACTGAGGGCTAAAAAACTGTTCTATAAAATAGGTCAAAAATACACAAATGGTTTTTACACTTTTGTGAACTGTTCAGTGTAAATACAATAATCAGATTTGTAACAAGATCTAGTACTTTCAGGAGAACATGATGAACATCAAATCTCACAGGTCCAATCGTAATTAATTTCCTTTGGTGCATTCATCCTTCACCATTCACGTGAAGGATATTTCCGTAATGAGTGCAGATTCGCGCGAGAAATACTCCTTGACATACATCGACGCAATATTTTGTTCTACATTCGTGTGCACATGACACTGGGTTTAAATCAACAACGATTAGCTGTGGTGAACCGAACGAATTTGAATATTAATTGGTTAGGTAACACGAGCGACATCAAGAAGTTAATCCATCGGTACGACCCCTCTCCTCCACCTTCTCGGGACGCTAGTTACGCCGAGAACGTTATGCTTCCACCCAACTTCCCAGTCTAGCATAGTTTGTCAATCACTGTAATGAATTTTTCATGTGATCACGACAGCCCAAATGAACTACGGAGCAGAAACCTAAAAAGCCCCATGGTGATGGCTAGAAAGAAACTGCAGATGCGTATGTATGGTTGTGTTTCTGCCCATATGTATGGAAGTGTACATAAAGATTAAACTATAATCAGTATCTTAGTCACGCGATCCGAGAAAGAGAGATAAGGAGGGGCGGGAAAGTGATGTGATCAGTAGGCATGTTGGACTGTTTTGAACAATATTGTTCCGTACCAACCCAGTATGCAAACTGGTAATCAGTAAAGACAGTTTTGTCAGGTCAGCGCGGAACTGGGCCGAACACAAGAATGGTCACAGAGCATGTGAATGAATGTGCTGCGGTAGCATCATTAGATAAGTTGCCACATGATGATGAAAAGTAACGTCAAAATCGAATTATGAGGCAAAAGAGTTATTTAGTTCGAACAGAAATTAGAAAATATATTTCCAAATATCGTGAGGACAACCAGAGAAATTGAAATAAGTGACCAGTGCTGCCCAGCTTCCCTTTCACATCGTCTCATAACAAAGCGACGGAAACCGGTTCTCGCAGTTCAGATTGACTGAATTCATTTTCGCCTGGTCGTTGAGCTCAGTAATTTGTTTCCTCACCAACTTGTGCTATGGTCTGACTTTATCCAAACTTTTGAAGCTCAGCAAACGGGCGAAAATTGCTGTTGCATTCGCATGCACAATGCTTGTTCCCAGACAGATGCTAATTTTACATATCAGCACCGGCCAAATTGTAACAGGATGCACTGACACTATCATTAGAGTACAGAAGGAGATACAAAAAGACGGTGAAATGCAACTTAAGGAAGAGGCAACTAGCTAATCAATAAGGCACTCAGTGTTAAATACTGAATTCAAAGGTGGAACAATAATGTCATAAGTGATTTACTTATCACAAACAGAAAAAGACATAAACCTCGTAGTCACAAGAATGTACTGTTCAGCTGAAGTAACCAGTTACCTAAGACTTGAAAATGAAAGTAGCGAACCACATTAGGTCCTTATAGGATAAACTGAAGCAGCTATCAGCTAATCAATATGAGCTTCATTACACCTGCTCTCGATATCCGAAATCACAGATATTATATAATGGATTTTGTCGATTTCAGACTAAACCGTACCTACTGTCGGTTTTTCGAGAGTCATCAAACAGTTAACAAGGAAAGGATTTATTGGAATAGCTTAGGCAAAATGTGGTATTACCGTCGAAATACACAAACACGCACCTCTAAACAAATGGAAACGCATCCTTTGTTGACCCCGACAGGGAATGGGGGAGGGGGGGAGGGGGGGATATAATACTCAAAGTTCAGATACCTTAAATGACGTACACATATACTGCATAGCATGCTTTGAGTATCTGACCTAAGCGCATACAATCGGTTGTGATTCCTCTGCTAAACAGGCTCGTGTCACCAATGCGAACCTTCATCAAACTCATGAAATGTCGAAAAATGTGGTGCTTTGGAAACTTTTCAGAACGTTTTACTATTCGTTCATCACGCTAATCATGCAGACACAAAAGCACTTGATCACAGGATTAGCCCTTGGTCAGTAAGAATATCACAACATTTATTCGACACATATTGGATGTCGAAGAATGACAGGTTCGGAGACAACAGAACAGTATCGTCTTTCCACACAATACGGATGGAGTTTTTGGACGGGTTCAAGCAGAGAGTGATGAATAATTAATTCGATCGTTATACTGATCTGTCATCTGCTATCTGTTAACGCATTCTAAATGACACAAACAGGTGGGGACATTCCTGTGGACCGCGGTTATGATGTCAACTAACGTATATGGAACGATGCGCTCTAATCCATCAATCAGTGTGAGGCTTTTGCATCCCATAGACGACAAACCTATGCTATGCCCACGTGACAATAATCCTGGATTTGTTTTTCACTTGAATAGGCCTTATGCGAGGATCGAAAAGTTGCCAGAACAACCACAATTTTTCGTAGCCTAATTATAATGAAAATGAACAAAAAGGATCGTCACCATCTACTCTCCATACATCTTACCGACATGGGATAAAATTTGTCGCTTTCTAAAAAAAGTGAGAACAGATTTTACGCATGAACAGTGGCGGATTTGAATCGATTACATGATGGAGTTCGTTGAGTATAGAGAAAACGAAGAGTGAGCATGTTTTTTGGTTCCATCTAGAGGAAGCCGTTATAGTTCAACTTATTGAAAAAGTATGTGTATTTAATGCATATTAAGTGAGAATGTGATCAAAAAGGGTTTTAAATTCCGTTGAGCAGGATTATGCGCTCAACCCTTTTCTCTAGTATGCCATGCTGGATGTAACGAAGAAAAATCCATATCCTGATGTTAGCAGTAACCAGTATATTCCTATTATTCATCTCTATTTTGGTGAGAACCAAGTGTGTGTTGCTTGACTGAAACTACTTAGATGAAGCACAGTGTTTGCTGATTGTGGACAGTGATAATAGATGTATCGATAGAAAACTAGACACCCGGTTTAAGACTGGGGTGCACACCATCTCCCCCACACACGGAAAAACAAACACATAGGAATTAATATTCTAAATATACCATGGAATATCCTTCTGTTATCATCATCATGATTCATTGTTTTTGTTTGGGACTTACTGAAGTACAAGGAGCGAGTGGGGACCAAAGAGGGCGTAGACAGACAAAATTTTTCTCAACAGTCAGTTATTGATTTACATCAAACTACTTCACTGATACATTTCAGTAACCATGCTATCTGTCTATTAGGAAGGTATCCGCAAGAGAAACGTTGGACTTGAAAATTGCACAGATGGATTTCTCGTTTGGCCTACTTTGTTCCAAACTCAATCTCTAAGCAATAAATCAGATAAAAATAGCAGTGGAATATTTGTTACTTGTGTAAGTCCCACTGTGTGCGTGGATGACGAATGAAGTTGACATTGCTGCTGCGTTCAAGATGGGTGCGTGGTACATTTTATTGTAGACAGTGGCCATTCTTAATCTTTTCTCCCTAGATACTGAAATTATGAACGCGACTGATTTCAACCGTTCGAAGAAATTCTATTTAGCAAATGAAAAACTAGGTGACGAATACGAAAGTGGAACTCATTTCAATGCAATATCTGGAACCATCTGCTTTCCTTGAATATCTTATTCTACCAGGATCACATGGAATACCTGTTTGCCGAGTCAAATTGTGGTCTGCTCGGGAGTTCGTTTCGAGCCCAAGAGAATGCTTGAATTTGGTAAGAAGTTGTATGTACTTTTAAAGTGTTTCACCATTCAAAGCTCACAGACAACGCAACTCGGGAACCCTTCTTGCGCAGTAGCCAAATAACAAAAAAAGGTAAACGTTTGTTATTTTAGAATTGATCTGCCTTGCTTTCAAATAGTACACTACGAGGTATATACATATAATGCACATCCACGTTATTTGGAAAGATTCCCACTCCTAAGGGCACGATGAATGCCATTTACGGGAATACAGACAGTAACCGAATAAAAAGCCCAAATACGGAATTTCGTTAATCTGTCTGTTTTATACCGACTGGGGAAGGTTACCGATAATGAAAATAATTACAGTGGTGGGAGAAAGTTGGAACAGTATGAGAAATCTTCATATTTGCATAGTGCATACCTTTCCACAATTTATGTGGACTCCATCTGTCCACTGTTTTGGCTTCCACTAAGCTAGTAGAAGTAGACTGACAGAATGTACTTTATCTCTTCTCTGCCA